CAACTTCTCCAGACGCATTCCTTCCTTCTGAGTGCAGACCCCCCACTGCCCCCACCAACCCCTGCCGGGGACAATGGCGCCTTCAGCCCCCAGAGATGAATGGAGCCTTTGAGAGCCGCACGCCACGGGGTCAGCGGCGGCCACGGGTCTGAGGCTGCCCAGCCTCCAGAGCACGCTTTGGAGAGGAAAGCATCCTATGGTCCCCGTCTTAGAGACTGGTGGCCCCTGGGAAAGAGATTCATCCCGGATCAGGCCGTTCATGGTAAAAAATGATCTGGGGAATGGTGCTGGGGAGAGAAAAACTCCCGCCCCCGTACCAGGAGCGAAAAGAGTTGCATGTCCTCTCCTTCGGAGGCAGCACAGCAATCTGCATGGGAACAGAATCTAGGAAACTTTTGCTACTTCTTCTCTCCCCTCCCCAAATCAAGGCCCCACCCTCCCTTTGGATGGGGCAGCTTCCCCTCTTCTCTCAGGGCCCGCGTCTCCTCTTCTGGGTCTGCCCTGCGGTCTGGTCTCTCCCCCCTGCTCCTGTCTCCCTTCCCCTTCCCGCAATGCACAGACTACCCGGTTTCTATAGAAACAGGCCCAGGAAGACTCTGCCAGGAGGCCAAGGCCAGTATTGCTCTTGAGGGGGAGGGGTAGATAGGAATGGAAAGTGAGGAGCAGAAGGTGAATTCTAGCTTTTCCCAGAAGGGGAGGAAACCTGTTGGGAGAGAGACTTCCACTGTTGGGGGTGGGGAGTGGGGAGCATCCGGAAGAGGAGCCAGAGATATAATTGTGTGATGTGATATGATGAGGGGCCCTTTCTGCCTCCTCCAGCTCTCGGTGCCCCAGACATCTAGGCAAGCCTCCTCAGGGGAGAAATTACCAGTAGTGGGCGCATACAGGAGGGAGGCAGGTAGTACCAAGAGCTCTGCCCGTTCTGTTCACAGGAGGCTCCATCACTTTACTTTTCTTGGGGGACATACCCACTTGAAAGAAGGAGGGGCTCAGGAAACTGGAAGGGCCCAGCAACTGGGAGGGGAAATTGAAGTGAGCATTCAGGGCTGTTCAGGAATGTCCCTTCGGCAACTGGAGCAAGAGATGGCCAGAGGCCTAGGGGTGCCTCCACTTGTACTTTCGGGGCATCCCTGCCTAGCACCTCCACTGAGGAGCTGGGGGTGGGCCTAGAGGGGGCAGCTGCCTCCCTTCTGTCCATTCTGTCAGGATTGACCATAGAAAGAAAAAAGTAGAGGTGGCCAAATAGGGGTTGGGAGCGGAGAAGGAAGAAGCCTAAGGAAGGAGGGGCCAGAAGCGGGATGGGTACTGATGTGTGCGTGGAGGTCAAGGCAGGTAGAGAGCTTCTTAGAGGCTTGACTCGCAGCTCCTGGGAAATGAGTCGCAGTCATCATGCCCTCCCAATGCTCCCACCTCAGGCAAAGCTGCCTCTTGGGCCGGGACCATTGGAAATTTTGGAGTCCTGGGAGAATGCGTGGTGGAATCCCTTGGGAAGGAGCCTCCCAGGTTATCGGAAGGTTAAGCAAAGCTTCCCTGGGAAGAGGGGGGAGTGAGAGGGGTCCCTTGGGAACATAGGGTTTCCTGGACCTGAGCCACTGGCTCTCCCTTGACCATAGGCCCCAGCACAGCCGTTTTGGTGTTTGCTTATTTTGGTTGTTTTTGATCAGATATTTTGGACTGTGCACACTGCCTCTTGTTGCCATGGCAGCCGTGACAGGGGCTGAGACACCGTGAGAAAAATACCAAAATTAATGAGTGAGCGAAAGTGCAGCCGAGAGAAAAACAAGGTTTAAAAAAGAGTTAAAACAGTAATGAAAACAGGCTTCCCAGTTCCACAGTGGAGCAGCTGCTGAAACCTCCCCAGAGCGGCAGCCCCCGCGCAGCCTCGGGCTTCTGGCATCTCCCAGACCTCAAGGCAGAACTCACTCGCCTTCCCCCTACCCAGCCAGCCACAGACGCAGCAACAGCCACTCGGAACTGTCCCAAGCACAACAGTAGGTCAGCTCCAAAAGCAGATCAGCTCCCATCTCAGGTAGCCTCCTGCCTCCCAGAACAGCATCCCAGGGAACAGCTTTTTGTCTCCTAGGCAATGTAGTCTGGACTACGGCCCCCACACAACAGTGGTCCCGCTATATTACCAGGAAACGGCCTCCCGGCTACACTCGAGCTTCAGAGCTATGGCTGCAGGCATAACAGCGTCCCAGCTAGAGTCCTGCACACAGTAACAGCCCAGTCACAAGCCTGGGCCACAGCATCTTAGCTATAGCCAATCCCTGTTCACTGTCATCATAGCTATAGCTTCAGGGCCAATAGCAGCCCAGCTACAGTCTTATACACAACAGTAGCTTGTTCTTATCTCAGGTAACAGCCTGCCTTCCTAGTACAGGCTCCTAGCAACAGCCTCTCATCTCCTAGGACCTAGGCAATGGATCCAGCTACAGTCCCACTTACGTCATATTACAATAGCAGAGAACAGGTTCTCGACTATCCCCAGTCTCAGGTGTGCCAGCCTCACACCTATAGCTTCAGACCCCACGGCATTTCAGTTACAGCCCTCCCCCCAACATGCGCACTTATAAACATACGCATACGCACACAGCTCAGCAACAGCCTCTCCAGTAATCTGATTACCTTGGCCGTAGCCTAGGCACACAGTATTACAGCATCACAATAGTATCCCAGCCACGATCAGAGGCAACAGCCTTTTTGTTACATTGCCAGGCCCTACAGCATCCTAGTCCTCTTAGCTATATCCCAGGGACACACATATCACAGCAAGTGCCTTAGGCCACAAGCATCCCGAGCACTCCCACACCTACCACCCCCTAGGCTTCTATCCCAGGCCACAATCTCGGCTGGAATCTCAGGCACCATCAGTGTCAGGAGTCCCCGCACCCTCAGTTCTCTGCTTGCCAACCAGGTCCTCCTCCCAGTTTGGTACAGGGCCAGGAGGCTGGCTTCTCTCCTCTTCAAATGTCACGTCCCAGTCCCTGTCCTTTGCCAAGCCCCCCTTCCTGGGGAAGTCAGCTCTAATCCCCATATCTACACTGCAGGCTCAGGTCCCCCACAGAGCCCAGCCTGGCGGCTGAGGAGGAGGGGATGGGGGCGGGGAGAGGAGTGGGCACACCCTGGTTTGCACTGGCCCAGTTCTGTTCCTACCACTGGTGCAGGATTTGGGTTTGACGGTGGTGATGCAGGGAGGACTGAGGAGAACATCTGGGAGATTAGCATTTCCTGCCCAGCTCTGCGGCCGCCTATCTTGCTCAGCCCTGAGCAAGGGAGGAGAACAGAGGAGCCTTTGAATGGCTCCCAGCAAGCAGACCGGGGAGGGCTTGCTGCAGTGGGCAGCAGGCACATGCTGGGGGCAGGGAGGCTGGGGCAGCTCCTCTGTGGATGATTTCTTCTCTCCGGGCCACGGATTCCTTCCTTGGAGTTGTGCTTAGTGATGGGGAGAGTATGAGTTTTGCAAGGGACAGAGAGGAGCCACTTACAGGACAGATCCTCTGTTCACTAGCTCTACCTATCTCTCATCCAGAGTCCCTGACCTGGGTTCCTGGGGCTGAGAGCTGGGGATGGGGACTAGATTAGGGCCAGAAAGGAAGTCCAGTTGAGGGGACAGCTCTGGGAGAGATCTTGGGCAGTCCTTGCTTGCCTCGTCAGCTGGCCAGAGATCCCACTCTTACCCTGAAGAGTGTCCTACAGAGAGGCCCGGTATGAGAAGGGAAGGAAGCAGAGGAAAGAAATAGAGGATAAAAGAGTGGTGTAGATGGGAAAATGGGGGAGGACATCAAGGAGGAGTTAGAGGTTATGGCAAATAGAGCCCTAGCAACCAATCACCCCATAATAGATCTTTCCAAACCCCCGCCAGGCCTTGTCCCAGGACAGCCTCCCTCATTGTTCTGACCTAGAACACTCTGCCTATGCCTCTAGGTGGCGAAAGGCAGGAGGTCGTATTGAACTGGGGCACTTGGGAGCCTGGGGTACCAAACCCTGAGCAAAGGAAAGGGAGTTCCCTAGGTGCTCCGAAACCTCTAGATGGCGCCAGAGAGCCAGAGCTGAGCGAGAGAAACAAGAGTATCCAAATGTGTAAGACACTGCGTGTGACACTGTGTGTGACTCGGTGAGTGTGAGTGTGACAGGGAACGTGTGGCACTGCGAGGGCATGTGACACTGCGCGGCCTCGCGGGGCAGGGACCCGTGTGACTCTGTGAATGTGTGCATGTCACTGGTAAATGTGTGGGGCCACAGCTCCCTGCAGCCCTGAGGTCAGGTGATTGGGGGACCCTCAAATAGCCCGACTCGGGTGCGTCACCTCATTCTCACACTTGCTTCTTTCCCCCATTCTCATTCTAGAGGAGACCCCGGGTCCCATTACCCTCCACCTCCAACGGTCCCCTCCATAGCCCCACCTCCACGGTTAGCTGCGGCCACCCGGGCTGACCGCTCTGCGGCTTCGGCCGGAGGGGGAGGGGTGGACTTCCCCCGGAGCGCAGTGGGAAGGGAGGGCCACACGGGGTGATCTGGGGGTCCTGGCGGGAAGAGGATGGATCTGGAGGAGCAGATGTCCATGGAAGAAGGCACTAGTGGAGACACTTCTCCAGCCTCGACTTCCCGGGGGGCAGGGTAGGGACAGGTGTTTGGGTGAGGTTAGGAGGGGAATTCGGGAGGGGTCCCAGATGGGGGCTCGGGTGGGATGACCGTAAAGGGAAGAGCCAGGGAGGGGGACGGCCTGTGTGTCCCGGCCCCGGGTAGTGGGGAGATAGCAAAAGGGGCTCCTGGCTTTGGGGAGCGGTGCTCGGGGTCCCCTCCCTGTGGGACCAGAGCGGTCCCGAGCTCCACCTCCCGGCCGGGGTGGAGGGGGGCGGGGAGGCGGGCGGGAGGCGGGCGGGCGGGCCGGGAGGGAGGAGGAGGGAGGGGGCGGGACGGGCTCTGCGCTCTGCTCGTTGCTGGCTCCGCCGCCTCGCACACTCGGGGAGCGGGAGCGCGGCGCGGACGCGGAGCCGCCGGGGCTGCTGCGCCCATAGCCAGCCGGAGCCGGAGCCTGAACCGCAGCGCCAGCCTGAGCCGTGCAGAGCCGCAGCCCGGGCCGGGGCCGGTGGTGGCTCATGGACTGCAAGGCCCGCGGCCGGCGCTGCCCCGAGGCGGGTAAGGATCCGGCGGCGGTGGAGGCGGCGGTGGCTCCCGGCCGCGAGCGGCCATGGCCGGCGGGAGCTGCGGGAGGGGCGCTCACCCGAGCGAGGCCAAGGGGGCCGTGTCGGTGCTCAGAGCACTAGGGCAGAGGTGGGAGAGACCGGGAGCTCGGAGTGGGGATTGTGGCCGGGGCACTCTGGCCTCCAAGGTCCGCGGCGAGAAGCGGATTGGAGAAAAAGGGGTGCTAAGCCGGCCCCCAGCTTCGGCGTCCCGCACCCATGCTCGCTTGGAACCGCGGGGATAGGAGACGCGAGGAGCGCGCGGGATGAAGATGGTTTTGGGGAAGCGCGCAGCTCCCAGTCTGGGGGGGCTCCCCGAGGACGAAACAGCAAGGACCCTCATCCACAACGCACACACACTTGTTGGGCGACCACCTTTGCTCACTCAGGCGCTTCCAGCTCCCCGCGGGCACCCTGAGGACCAGACCACGGACATAAGTACACGCATACATACATCCGTTCATATGTGAACACAGACATACCTCCCGCACACCAGCGCCCACTGGGGCACCGTCACTCGCTCAGAACCTGCTTCAGCGCCTGCACGTTCAGCGGCAGGGACATACAACCCTTGGCCAAACGGAGCAACGGAACACAACCGGTGTGACATTCGGACACAAACGCAATCCCTTGCCCACATGTGAGAGTGTCGTGCCACAGCTCCCCAGATGAACACTCAAACCCTAGACACACACACACACACACACACACACACACACACACATACATATTCCTTTAAGGAACACACCCTAACACAAATTGTTACCTACTCCTTGGCCAGAACATAGGTACACATCACAGATCGGCTGGCACCCCTCGACTACACCCACGTACACACACAACCCAGGATCTCAGCACACGCCTCGAGGGCACACACCCTACCTAACACAGTAAGTGGCACCTGCAGCAGCGCCTCACAATCACAAACACAAAATTCACTGCCTCACACGTCCTGACAGTGGGTGTCTCACATACCTTACACCAACAGCGTCACATTACACCTTTTAGCGTACACACACACACACACACACACACACACACACACACACCGTCCCTCTCCCTCGGAGGCCTGATTTCGTTCGGCGAAGCCGGGGCTTCCCGGCGAGCCCCTAGCGCCCCTTCACCTAATCACATTGTTAATGTAAATATCCGCACAGCGGGAACCCTGGAGGCCGGCGGGACAAGCTTCCTCCGCCGGCGCCTCCCCCACCCCCACCCCGGGGCTGTCTGGCAGGGTATTCCCGGAACCAGCTGGACCTGGCTGCCCGCGCCGTCCCGCCTCCCCGGGGCTCCAGAGGGTGCAAGGCTGGGGCGGTATTTGCGACCCACTTCGGGCCGTGTAGCTGCGTTCTCCGAGCCACCTGGGTCCCTAGCACACCTGTTCCCCTCTCACACCTGGGCGCCCCCTCCGGGGGTTCCTGGCTGCAGGTCCGAGTCTTGTGCGCCGTCAAGGCCCTGGGGCGGGACATCGCGACACGCGCAGGAGCAAAATTGGTAGATGAGGCGAACTCGCACCCCTTCCCCCCAGTTGTCCTCTGTAGCCTGGACTTCTGGCCTCAATTTCCCCAGCAGTGGTCGCCGACTATTTCTTGTAGCAGGAAATATTTGGGGTGGCGTTGAGGTCTTTGAGGATGGAACTCGGGGCAAACACCCTTTTTCCTCCCGGCGCGAGAGGGTCGGTTTTTTGAGAACGTCCCCGCCCGGCCGGGCTCGACGCTTTGTGATTCCGGCGCGGGATCCCTCCTGGCGCCCTCTGCGTGGCTCCCGCCGACGCGGGCTTGCCGGGGACCCTAGGCAGAGGCCGGAGATGCGGAGAGGAGATTCCCCGCAGCGGCCCCTGGGGCTGGGGGCGCTGGGGGGGGCGCGCTGGCTGAGGAGCCTTCTCGCCAAGCGGCGCCCCGCCCTCGCCTCGAGCTCCCCCAGGCCCGGCGCAGCCCAGGTGGGGGTGGAGCCGCCCGGGCCTGAGGATGATGGAGGAACTGTCGCCATCACCCCCTCTTCCCCCACACCAACACTCCTGTGTTCTCTGGGAGGAGGCTCCCCGAGAACTGGGTGTGTGCGGGAAGCTCCCACAGACCACGGCGGTGTAGGCAGGGGGCTACTCTGGCCTGCAGAGTCCCGGACGTCGTGCCAGAAGACGAAGGGAGCCTTCCATTACCTGCTTTGGGCCAACCCTCGTTTACTGCCAGGAAAGGGGGCACCCAAGGAAGCGTTTGTGGCAGCCTAGAGGTCTGGGTGTGTGTCTGAGGAGGGGTAGGGTGTTACTTTCTTGACGTGGGGGTCTGGAAGGATTGAAATTTGTAATCACAACTATACCAAGAGGCGGAACTGAGGGGAAGGGGATGAGAAAGATCTCCAGAGATGGCCAGGAACAGTGTGGTAGGGGAGCAGGTCTGGTCTCCCTGCTTCCCCCAAACCCAATCCCCAGATCCAAAAGGGATCAGCTGGGATGGGGTGTCATACTGGTCGGGCGTCCTCCTAGCAGAGGAGCCCCTGCTGTGGCCACTTTAGAGGAGCTGGGCTAGAGGGAGTGAGCTAACTGCTGGGAAGAGTGGGGCGGAAGGGCCAGGAGAGGGCCTGCGAGGGTGGGGGTGTGGCTGAGTGGGCATCCAGGCTGGCGGAGAGGAGACGGAGGAGGCCCTTGTGATGCAGGCTGAGGGCTGCCCCTACCATGAGCAAGGATGGCTGGTTGGTGCTGCAGAGATTCTTTCAACAGTGTATTGAGCACCTATCTGGCAGGGCCCATGGTGGGTGGTGAGGATGCAGTACAGTAGTAACATATATACCATCCTTTCCTTAATAGGTCTCTCGACTGGTAGGGGATTGATTTGTCTATTTACTGAACCAATGAGCACCTACTGTGTGCCTAACGCTGGGAATAGAATGCTTTAGTCAGTCATAGGGAGATAGATATATATATGTTTTTATATCTTTTACAATGTAATAGACCTTGATGCATCTGTTCTCACTCACTTAGTTCTCCCAAATAACTTCAAGAGGCAGGATTTATTATATCTATTTCACAGGATGGAAATCGGTTCAGAAAGGTGAAGTCACTTGGCCAAGGTCACACAGCCAGGCAGTGATGGAGCGAGGGTTTGAGCCTCGGCAGTCTGAGGGAAGAGTGCAGGTGCCTGGAAGCCCTGCAAAGGCCGACAGAGGGTTGTGGAAGGGAAGGGCGAGCAGCTGAGGGTTGGCACTGTTTACTGTGGGAGATCTCTGAACGGCTCCACCCCAGACAACCCTGCTTACTTATCTCCCCGCCCAGACCTTCATTTGTTCCCTGGTTGTTTTGTGCTCACTGTGCTGCTGCCTATTGTGTAACAACAGTGTGGAGGTGGGAGTTTGGGGGTCCAGGGATGACCTGGTCACTGGGACATTGATAGCTGCCTCTGTGTGTTTCCTCTGTGGCCACGGCATTCAGCAGGAAGTGGACCCCCGTCCTCGAGGTGGGCTGGAAATGAAGGAGAACCCTCTCCAGCTGTTGACGCAGACAGTGTTTTTCCTTGGCCTTTCCCGGACCCTGCCCCTCCTACCTCACTGTGCTCCTTGGGCCAGAGGAGGATAAGTCAGTGTCCCTGCTGAGGCCCAGGCTTCTCGGGGTCCTGGGCGCCCATGTCACTGGGCAGAGGTGGAGCCAGCCTTGCCAGGAAGCCAGCCAGGACTTGGGGAAGGGCAGATAAGGCACAGCTTCAAAGGCTCGGGTCAGGCACTAATAACTCCCAATAACTAACCACTGGGGCAAAGTTCAGGGCTGGTGGGAGCAGGGGAGAGGAAAGGCCACCTCACTGTTGTTATGGCTGCTCTGACTCCCTGCATCCCTAGGGTCCCTGAAGCAACCTACCTACGAGGCCTGGGGTCCCTCAGTCCTTGAACCCTAGGCTGTCTTTCTGTTCTTTGCCTGGCAGGTCTGGCAGCCCAGGGATGAGGTGTGTGTGTGTGTGTGTGTGTGTGTGTGTGTGCGCGCGCGCGCACTGCGGGGGTGCGAGTGGGGGTGCATAGCGAACATCGTAGTCTAGCCTTGGGGGGTAGTTTCTGTTGACTTCCCTTCCCCCACCCAGCCTTTCCCCCCAGACTCTAGGATGTGTTCCTTCTCAAACCCTGACTTCCACTTACTACTTCTGTGACCTAAGACAATTAATTATTCTTTTTGAGCCTCAATTTCATCAACGGTGCTGTGGGGAGCCATGTAATAATAAATAGTACTCACTTCAGAGGGTTGGGAGGATTAGATGAAATAATGTATGTAAATGCAGTAAAATCTCAGGAAGTGTTACCTCCGACCTGGCTATGACAGGGAAGATTGTGGTAAAAGTGATGATGATAGAGTTTGCACTTCTGTCTGAACTCCTAGGATTTAGCATCTCTCAAAGCTATTCCCCAAAGTTCGGGGCCATTGCTTCCTGCTTCCTGAGGATTTCTCCAGGTCCTTTCTCAGGAATCAGAATTCCTAAGGGTGGGGCCAGAAAGTCCTCATTTTTAAGGGACTCTCCAGGTGCTTTCAAGGGCCCTCTTCAACTCTTGCCCCTGCTCTAGGTACCCTCCTCCAACCCCATTTTCCCCCAAATTCTTCCTACCTCTCAAGAACAACCCCCCCCCCCCGCCCCACCTTCCTTGTCTTGGATATTCCTTTGTGATTCTCTTTCATGGCTCCTCTACTGGCTGGAGGTAAGGGATCTCTTAAGAGTGACAAAGTGAGAGAGGGAGAGAGAACATTGGGGGCAGGGGGGTGCGGGTCACAAACATGTTGTGTTTTTACTGCTGGAGAAGCGTGAGGGTTGGGATTCTGAGAGGGGGAAAGAAGCGCCGGCTGCACATCCAAGTCACCCAGCTCTGCCAGGCCACGGACCTCTGGATTTGTAGCCAAAATTTGTGAGCATTCATTTTTCTTGGAAAAATCTGAACCATAGTTTCATAAAATTTGTAAAGGGGATGCGACCCAAAAAGCTTAAGAATCCTTGATCTAAAGAGAGTGGGTGGAGGCGAGCGGCCCCTGTCTTCTTTCTCCTTTTTCTCACATTTAGGGTAAAACCCTTGTAACCCCCACCCTGCCAAGACTTATGCACGGAAGGAATTGGTGCCCATGGCGATCGCGTGTTGTGCCTGTGCTGGGGGCGGGGGCGGGTAGAGGGGAAATGACTGGAGAGTGGATCCAAATGGAGCTTGGGATAAATTCCCCCTTCTTTTAAAGAGATTAAGATTGCAGCTGGGAACAAACACACAGTAATTTGATAACGCCTCACAGACTTGAAGCTTATTCTGAGAAGGACCCGGGAGGGGCTGTGCTTTGGACAGGCTATGGAGAGGAAGTGGAGTGTTTGACTTGTGTAAGCAATCTGTGTGTTCAGTGAGCATTTGCTGAGAGCCTACTATGGACCTAAACAGAGAAAGATTACATTTGCCTCCAGCAGGTTCTCAGTAGGGGAACTGGGCAAGAAAACAAGCAAGGGCCACACCAAAAGTGCCGGGACAGGTTAAGCCTGGGAGCTAAAATAATCGGCCATTCAGGAGCCCTGACTGGAGCGCCTGCTGTGTGCCGAGTCCAGGGTAGGATCTTGGGGATTTAGGAGTCCACAGGGCCGAGGTTCTCCTGCTCTTTGCTCCGTCTTGTAGGAAAGAGAAGCAATTCACAGCTGATTTCCCAAACAACTACGTAACTACAGTTGTGCTTTGAGGGGCATTTGCTGAGGACCCATTGTGTGCTAGGCATGTAGCCCACATGATTTCAAACTCCCTAGATAACAGGTAGTATGATCCCCATTTTACACATCAGGAAACAGGCTCAAAATCATTTGCTCCAGCTCGGGCAGCCAGGAAGTGGGCAGCTGGGGTTTGCCTCAGACTGTCTGACATCATGGTCCCTGCTCTTCTCTACCGGCGGCCTCCCATGTGCCAAATGGGTCCAACCACAGAAAACGGACAAATAGTCACTGAGTTAGAACCATTGTCAGCTCCGCCATAGCAGTACCTAGGACAAAGCTGAGCACATTGGAAGTGCCCAATAAACATTCACTGAATGCATGACTGAACACCGACAGTGTGCCCAGATTTACAAAGGAGCAGGGGTGGCGCTGGGGGGTGAATGTAGGGAGCCCGGTCCCTTCCTTCTGGATGTGTGTTGTGTGAGGCAGAGAGCACAGGATTAGGGGCACAATACTGGAGCGCACATGGGCGGGCAGTGTCCCGGGCCGCGGTGATTCATGGTCGAGGGATTGGGGCAGACAATAGAAGCTGGGTTGGAGGCCAAGAGGTCACTGTGGGTTGGAGAGGCCTGGGAAGGATCCTTGCGGTCCAAAGCCTGCCTTCAGTGGGGTGAGTGCGGCCTCTCATAGAGCCTGGGGTGGGATTTTGGGTGTTAGTGGGGAGGTGGGGAAAAGAGACTGGACCTGAGCCCTTTGTTAAAAATGCTGGGCCAAAGGCTTTGAATTTTAATGGAGGGGCTGGCTATGGTTTTGTGGGAGAGGAGGAGAGAGTCAAGACTGGGACAGTAGCTGGTAGGTCTGGCTGGAGTCTGCAAATGCACAGCCTCAAAGCTGGGGGGAGATGGGCCGAAGAAATGGGTTATTGGGGTGTTGGGGTGCATGTTGTGGTTGGCTAGGGCACAAAGGGCTAATTGGAAGGCCCGGGGGGGGCGGGCAAGGAGAGCTGGGACTGGGCTTGTTAAGGTGGGGACAGGCCAGGTGTGAAATAGGGGTCAGATGTTTGCAGGGATAGGGATCAAATAGAACCAGATGTTCACAATCAAGAGACTGTGAGCAGGGAGGGGGTGTGGTCAGGGAAAGGCTGATGGTGTCATTGGCACCTCTGTCCCAGTTAGACCTGCTGGGCTCCCCCTTGCTAAGGACAGGCCAGGGCAACTCCCAGTTCCAATTCCAGGGCTAGTCAGGCCTGACCACAGTGCTGACCCCAACCTCATCCTTTACTACCTTCCACATAGCTGCTGGGGTCTCCCAGATGTGCCAATGGAAGGCGGGGAGGGAGCTGGGAGGCGCCCTGGCAACTGTGTGTGCCCACAGGTGTGCCAGCTCAGGGCATGTGTGTTTGGGAGGGAGTCTGGGGAGGCCTAACACCTTACTCCTCAACCTGAACCGTTCCCAGGCCTTGACCGGTGCCCAGTTCAAGATGGCCCCTCATGGGGGATGGGGGACATTAGGCACTGTGGGTGATTTCTGTCAGACAAGAAGGATTTGAGATGTCATAACTCACACACATGTACTGACTTGGCATCTCAGAAGAGACAGAAAGAAGACATCATCCCCTCCAGCCAATCTGAGCGGCCCTGAGTCTGGGTCTGGGGAGTGTAAGAGGTACTTCTGTCTCTTTGCTGGTGTGTGTGTGTGTGTGTGTGTGTGTGTGTGTGTGTGTGTGTGTGGCAGCGGTGTGGGGGGGTTGTGCTGGAGGCCTCGCCCTTTCCACTAGCTGTCTCTCTATCTCAGTATCAGGGTAATTACCATGAGTGACTAAGGCAGGATACTGGTGAGGAGGTGCTGGGCAGAGCCCTGAGTAGAGAGCAGGGCGGGAAGGAGGGAGTGTCAGGTGGGTCAGGGCGTTCCAGGGGCGGGGACTGCTTCAGACCCATTCCAGGTCCCTTACCGGCTCCTCCAGCTGGGGCAGACACCAGCTGCTACGCCCAGCTCTGGCCGAGACTCAGGGCTCTGTGCTGGGCCGAGCTCTCCTTACAGGCGGCAGAGGGAGAGTGCGGGGCTGGCTCGGGGCAGCCCTCAGGGCCAGATCCCTGCTGTCAGCTGACCACCTCTTTTGCTTGTTCCCCTTGCAGCCCTCCTGATTCTGGAGCCTGCCAGGATGGGAGCCCTGAGGCCCAGGCCAGGCCCTGGGGGGCAACAGTTGCTACTGCCGCCCTTGCTGCTGGCACTGCTACTCCTGCTGGCGCCATCCCCAGGCCACAGCACTCAGGTGGTGTACAAGGTGCCGGAGGAGCAGCCGCCCAACACCCTCATTGGGAGCCTCACAGCCGACTACGGTTTTCCAGATGTGGGCCACCTATACACACTAGAGATAGGTGCCCCGTACCTGCGAGTGGAGGGCAGGACAGGCGACATCTTCACCACTGAGACCTCTATCGACCGCGAGGGGCTCCGTGAATGCCAAAACCAGCTCCCTGGTGAGCCCTGCATCCTGGAGTTCGAGGTGTCTATCACAGACCTGACGCAGAATGGCAGTCCCCGGCTACTGGAGGGCCAGATAGAGGTACAGGACATCAATGACAACACACCCAACTTCGCCTCACCGGTCATCACGCTGCCCATCCCTGAGAACACCAACATCGGCTCACTCTTCTCCATCCCAGTGGCTTCAGACCGTGATGCTGGCCCCAATGGCGTGGCATCCTATGAGCTGCAGGCCGGGCCTGAAGCCCAGGAGCTCTTTGGGCTGCAGGTGGCAGAGGACCAGGATGGGAAACAGCCACAGCTCATTGTGATGGGCAACCTGGACCGGGAGCGCTGGGACTCCTATGACCTCACCATCAAGGTGCAGGATGGTGGCAGCCCCCCACGTGCCAGCAGTGCCCTGCTGCGGGTCACTGTGCTCGACACCAATGACAACGCCCCCAAATTTGAGCAACCCTCCTACGAGGCTGAACTGTCTGAGAACAGCCCAATAGGGCACTCCGTCATCCAGGTGAGAGTCCCCTCTGCCTCATTGTCTGGGTGACCCACATTGAGAAATGGGAGCCCACCCTAAGCTGGTGAGAATTCCCTTCACTTAGGGGGAAAACCACCAGGATAGTATGGTGAGACCTCTCGTCCCTAGCCCCAGCCAGGTGAGACCTTCTCACCCCGCCCTAGCCTGGGATAATTTCTTTCCTCTGTCAAGTTGCTTTGGTGACAGTGACATAGCACGTGACTAGTAATTCCCCCTTCCCCAAGGCAGACTCAAACTGGAGAAATCTCAGAGAGGTAAAGCCCCCTCTCAAGTCAATGGATCTTCTGCCCAGCTGTGTGAGTGGAGCTGGAACAAGGGAAACACCTCTGTCCAAGTAGGATCTCTCCAGAGGAGAGGGCATCTTCCCAACCAGGGACCCTTTAGCCATATGAGATTTTCCTGAAGCTGAAGGACAGAGCCTGACTTTGCCCTCCTGCTTGACAAAGGCAGATGAGATCATTTTAGCCAGATGAGTCCTCAGAGTTCCAGAGAACTGCACTCAGATGTCTGTATACCGGCTTTCTCCACTAGGCACAAGGTGCCCATGGGTGTGGGGTGCTTGGCGCAGGGGGTGGTTGGTAGCCTCTGCTGAAGTTCTCAGCACCCCTCTCCGTGGGAACTGCCCCAGGGGTTGGGCAGCTTGGTGGGGCCAGAGCCTGGGAGGGAGCAGAGAAAGCGTCCCAGCAGACAGGTGGGTGTATCTCCCACTGCCATCTCAGCCCTGGCCTCCTGCCAGCCCCAGCTCCTTTCTCCTTCCCCCTGGGCTGAAGCTGTCTGTCTTTGATGTGAGGGAGCTGAGGAGGCCTCAGCCTGCCCCGGACACCGTTACCCGTCCTAGGTACCCAGCCTAGGAAACCCTCCGTCCTGTGTCCTCAGACTGAAGTGGGGCATGAGGAGGCGTTTCAACCCTTTTCTTTAGAGGCTGGTGGACTGGCACCCATAGAAGAGACACCAAGAAAGGAAAGGGAGACAGACAGTCGGGGATGGGGAATAATAATAGCCTAGGTGCCAGGACTGCTCTAAGCACATTACGTGTATTATATCATTTAATCCCCACAGTACAAGGTAAGCATTATGCCCATTTTACAGATGGGAACCTGAGTCCATAGAGTTTAGGAAACTTGCCTGATACCATCCAGCCTATATGCTCAGATACCACCTTGGCTGTGCCCAACAGTCTGTCTGGCTTCAGAGCCTGTGTGTATAGCAGCTAACGCCCCTCCCACTGGGTGAAGCAGGAGAGTGGGGCAGAGGGAGGGGGGAGGGAGACAACCAGCAGTGGAAAAGAGGCAGAAAGAACTGAGCAAGGATAGGAGGGAATCAGAGACAGAAGTCGAGTCCTCGGCAGACAAAGGGAGATAAAATGTCAAGAGAAGCAGATAAGAAGCTGGGTGACCAATCTGGAGACAGGGAGACAGTGGGACTCATAATGAAAATGTCGGGCACAGATAGATAGATGGGGTGAGTGGGTTGAGGGGTGAGCAGAAACTGCTTGGTTTTCAGAGGGTGAGAGTTTGGCCCATAGCGGTGAGCAGAGACCAGGGTAGCCGTGAACCCAAGCCTGGGTGTCTCTACTATGTCAGAAAAAGTCCTGGCAGAAAGAAGAGACTGGCAGTGGCTTGAGGGCCCATGGGTGGGGTGCCCAGCACTGTGTTAGCACTGGTCTTCAGAGAAGGACAGATAGGAGGATGAGTGGATAGATGGACAAACGAGGGATCAATGCTATTTAGGGAGCACTCGCCATGTGCTGGGCGGTATTGGGCACTTACACGTATTATTCCATCTAATCCTCACCACAGCCCCATGAAATAGGTTCTATTGTTATCCCCATTGTATATATTTGTAGACCGACGCTTGGGGAGATTAAATAATTGGCTCAAGTTCACACAGTTGGGAAGTGGTGAAGTTGGGATTTGAACCTGAGACCTTTCTGCTCTGCTCCCCAGAACTCTGCCAAGTTATGCCTGTCTCCTCTTATCCCCCAGCCCACCTATCATCACATTCTTTTGTACCTAACTTATGGCCATTTCTACCTGGTTCCCGTTGCCCCCATGTTTGTATAGAGTGTGCTTCGGTGTTGCCCTGGGAGGGTGTGCCCAACGCGAAGGGACAGACAGTTCATTGTTTGAAGCTGGGAGCCCAGCCTGCTGCCAGCAGGCTCTGTGGCCTGCACCAACCCCTCCCTCCTGGCTGCAGGCTCTGCTGGATTCCTCAAGTTGGTGCCTAGTGAGCACCAGCCCAGTGGGAGGGGGAGAAACAGGTTTCCCCGGTTTGACAGAACGGTGGCCTGGCCAACTCCTTCTGACCCATATCCCTACCTGGCTGCTTTCAAAAGAAATCCCCTCACCTGTGTCCTCCAGGTGGACATGTGGGTCTCCAGTGAGATGCAGACACACATGTGCACAAACACATATACCTTCTTCCACAATCACAGATTCACACAATCGTAAATGCGTGTGTGCATGTGTATTATACACATATGTCATACATACACACCATCTCTACTGCTCACACCTTTCCAGCTCTTCAGAAGGGTGGAAGGCCAGTTTAATTGGGTGGAAGGGCTGTGCCAGTTGGACAACTGGCTCCTCATTCCCATATTTGGGCAGAAATGGTCAGTAGAATTTAACTCTGCCCTCTCCCGTCTGCAGTAGCTGCTTGCAGCTCTGTTGAGGACTTGCAGGCAGCATCTGTGTTCTTTAGGGAAGTAGACGGGGAATGTGTGCCCGAGTGTCAGGACTGGGAGAAGGGCAGTACACGTGCTGCTCTGGGAAAGGGTCCTGCATGAGACCCGTCATGTCTGCCGTGCTTGTTGGAAAGGCAGCCTGTGCGTCCCTTGATTTGCTGTTCTGGAGTAACCTATCCCTGTTTTCCTTGCTTTCCTCCCCTGCTCTGTAGGTGAAGGCCAATGACTCAGACCAAGGTGCCAATGCAGAGATCGACTACATGTTCCACCAGGCGCCCGAAATAGTGAGGCGTCTCCTGCGCCTGGACAGGAACACTGGACTAATCACTGTGCAGGGTCCCGTGGACCGTGAGGACCTAAGTACCCTGCGCTTCTCAGTGCTTGCCAAGGACCGAGGCACCAACCCCAAGAGTGCCCGTGCCCAGGTGGTGGTGACTGTGAAGGACATGAACGACAATGCCCCCACCATTGAGATCCGGGGCATAGGGCTGGTGACCCACCAAGATGGGATGGCCAACATCTCAGAGGATGTGGCAGAGGAGACAGCTGTGGCCCTGGTACAGGTATCTGACCGAGACGAGGGAGAAAATGCAGCTGTCACCTGTGTGGTGGCAGGTGATGTGCCCTTCCAGCTCCGCCAGGCCAGTGAGACGGGCAGTGACAGCAAGAAGAAGTACTTTCTGCAAACCACCACCCCACTCGACTACGAGAAGGCCAAAGACTACACCATTGAGATCGTGGCCGTGGACTCGGGCAACCCTCCACTCTCTAGCACCAACTCCCTCAAGGTGCAAGTGGTGGATGTCAATGACAATGCACCTGTCTTCACCCAGAGCGTCACTGAGGTCGCCTTCCCAGAAAACAATACACCGGATGAAGTGGTGGCTGAGGTCACTGCCAGTGATGCTGACTCGGGCTCCAATGCTGAGCTGGTTTACTCCCTGGAGCCTGAGCCGGCCGCCAAGGGCCTCTTCACCATTTCACCTGAGACTGGAGAGATCCGGGTGAAGACGTCCCTTGATCGGGAACAGCGTGAAAACTACGAGTTGAAGGTGGTGGCAGCTGACCGGGGCAGCCCCAGCCTCCAGGGCACTGCCACTGTCCTTGTCAATGTGCTGGACTGCAATGACAATGACCCCAAGTTTATGCTGAGTGGCTACAACTTCTCAGTGATGGAGAACATGCCAGCATTAAGTCCAGTGGGCATGGTGACTGTCATTGATGGGGACAAAGGGGAGAACGCCCGGATAGAGCTCACAGTGGAGCAGGACAACGGTGACTTTGTTATCCAGAATGGCACAGGCACCATCCTCTCCAGCCTGAGCTTCGATCGGGAGCAACAAAGCACCTACACCTTCCAGCTGAAGGCGGTGGATGGCGGTGTCCCACCTCGCTCTGCTTACGTTGGTGTCACTATCAATGTGCTGGATGAGAATGACAATGCACCCTTTATTACTGCCCCTTCCAACACCTCCCACCGGCTACTGACCCCCCAGACACGTCTTGGTGAGACAGTCAGCCAGGTGACAGCTGAGGACATTGACTCCGGTGTCAATGCTGAGCTGACCTACAGCATTACTGGTGGCAACCCTTACGGACTCTTCCAGATTGGGTCACGTTCAGGTGCCATCACCTTGGAGAAGGAGATTGAGCGGCGCCACCATGGGCTGCACCGTCTAGTGGTGAAGGTCAGTGACCGCGGCAAGCCCCCGCGCTACGGCACAGCCTTGGTCCACCTTTATGTCAATGAGACCCTGGCCAACCGCACGCTGCTGGAGAACCTATTGGGCCACAGCCTGGATACGCCGCTGGACATCGACATTGCCGGGGATCCAGAGTATGAGCGCTCCAAGCAGCGTGGCAACATCCTCTTTGGTGTGGTGGCTGGTATTGTGGCCGTGGCCTTGCTCATTGCCCTGGCGGTGCTCGTGCGCTATTGCCGGCAGCGGGAGGCCAAGAGTGGCTACCAGGCTGGTAAGAAGGAGACCAAGGACCTGTACACCCCTAAGCCCAGCGGTAAAGCCTCCAAGGGAAACAAAAGCAAGGGCAAGAAGAGCAAGTCCCCGAAGCCTGTGAAGCCAGTGGAGGATGAGGACGAGGCCGGGCTGCAGAAGTCCCTCAAGTTCAACCTGATGAGCGATGCCCCCGGGGACAGCCCCCGAATCCACCTGCCCCTCAACTACCCACCAGGCAGCCCTGACTTGGGCCGCCACTACCGCTCTAACTCCCCACTGCCTTCCATCCAGCTGCAGCCGCAGTCACCCTCAGCCTCCAAGAAGCACCAGGTGGTGCAGGACCTGCCGCCTGCAAACACATTCGTGGGCACCGGGGACACCACGTCCACGGGCTCTGAGCAGTACTCCGACTACAGCTACCGCACCAATCCCCCCAAATACCCCAACAAGCAGGTAGGCCAGACCTTGCGGCTCAGCACGCCCAAGCCCCCACCCCACCCCTACCACGGGGCCATCTGGACTGAGGTGTGGGAGTGACAGCGCAGGTGTGTCGGGTCTGTGTGCTCACCAGCCCTCGTCGGGGCCGGACCAAGGCAGCGGTGGGAGGTGGGACCAAAGAGCGAGGGGTGTGGAGATGCTGGGGTCCTGGTCGGTGCCTCACCCAGGTATGAAGGGTTAGGCGGAGTGAAAATTGAGGGAGGGTATAATCTCCTCCTGTTCGCTTCCCACTGGGAGAGGCCTGTGACTTGTCAAATCCCGGGACACTGCACCAGCTGCTGGGTCTTGCAGGTGGGGGCTGATGGGCAGGTGAGCAGAAGGTTTGGAGGCAGAGGGGGAAGGGAAGTGGAGAAGTCCCCTCCAAACCTGGGTCTCCGTCTGAGGCCAGCCATGGTGCTTCTCTTGAGGGAAAGGAGAGACCTGGGTCCTAGCAGGTAACTGGGTGGGGACTCTGTCAGGGAGGGGGCCGCCCCATTTGTGCCTTCTATGTGTACTGTGTGTCACCCGCTTCCCCACGCCAGGCTCCTGGGGCTGGGTCTCAGTTTCCCAGCCCCAGTTCCAAACACTTATCTTTGACTATAATAAAGTTCTCTATTTTTGGAGTTTTGGTTTCTTATTTTCCTGGAACTGAGAGAAGGAGTGAGAGAGACTGGAAACAGCCCTTTGTCCGTAGGTCCTGACCCAATTTTCCCATCCCTTCTTTCTGCCCCTTCCCACAACCTGGACCTGCCCCTCTGCTCCAACCTTTGTTAATGTACCATCTTCCTGTCCACCCATGTCCATGTCCTTGTCCCGGGAAAAGTGCCCTTCCGAGAAGCCTTCAACATGTCCCCTTACGCCATGTTTGTGAGGCCTTCACCCCAGAAGTGTCACCCTTCACCAAGAAAGGGCAGGTGGGGATGCACTCAAGTCCTGCCCTTTCTCCACTGGCTGAGACTTGACCTTGCCAACCTGCCCATAGTGAGCATCTCTGATAGAACAGAACTCAAACGGGAGCACCTGCCGCGTGTGGAGTGTAGCCTGCCTGCCTCCGGTGAAGGCAGAGACCTTCCTGATTTACCAGCTGCCTTCCCTCGGGTCAAGACCTTCCCGAGTCCCTTTCCCAGCCTCTTCATCGTAATACTCAACACCCAGCAATTAGCTGGCCCTTCCCTGTGTGTCCCCAGCATGATCACCATCCTGGGCTGCCTGGAGGGAGGGGCTAGGGAGAGGGGAGGGGATCCTCAAGTCCTTTGAATCGACCCGCTCCCTATCCCCACTTTCAGGGTGCACCCTGCTGCCTGGGGCAGAGACATCCTAGTCCTGCTCCCTTCCTTCAGCTCCTTGCTCTGGCCACCTGGGTTGCCGGCTCTCACTCTCTCTCTCTCCGTCTCTCACTTCTTGCTCTCTTGGGTCTTCTCTAGCTGTTTCTGAGGGGAAGGGGAGCTAAAGTCTGGGTGAGGGGCCTCAGGTCCTGGGTGAGTCTCTGAGGCCAGAGGCAACCTGTCTCCATGGCGATTGAAGAGGCTTGAGACACTCCCAGGAGGTCAAAGGCGCCAGCTCTCTACTCTGATTCCATCCACAAACTCCCCCAATCCCCTAGGGGTAGCCCCAAAATAAAAACTCCAGGGGGCTTTGGAGGAGTGGGGCATGGGCAAGTGAAATCTAGTTTCATCTCCTGTCTCCTGGACGAAATAGCATCTCCAGGGCGACCTCCAACAGCTCCTGATCAGTCATTGTTTTTCGTTCGCATCTTGCTGCCACCAGCTCTTCTATCCTTTGGCTATTCTTTAGCTCCTTCCTCCTTTTCTTTCTCAGAGCCTGAGGGGTTATCCCTTACTTGGCTCCAATCCAAACCGTGCACGGAGTCACATTGCAGACCTTCTCTCGCATTCGGCCTCAATCGAACCGAACTGCCACACCACTATCATCACCAAAACAAAGACTGAGTTCCTAGTCTGTGCTCAGAAGAGTACTAGACCCAGAAGAAAAATGGACACCTTTGTACAAGACGTACCAGTGAGAAGATGAGGCACTCGAGAATCTTAAGTGTCAAATGAGAAGTGCCATAGTAAAACTTTTCCCAACTTGTCCCATGACTACTTCTACTACTTGCTTCCTTTTTGTTTTTTGAGTTTTTACTAGGTGCAATGTACCATGCTAAGCACTTTATGTGAATTAGCTCATTCAATGCTCATAACCTTTGTGACATAGGTCATTATAATGCTCATTTTATAGAGGTGAAAACTAATTAGTGATGAAGTCAGAATTCAAGCACAAAACATCATGAAACTTGATTTCCAGAGTGCTATTAATCATCATACTATTAAAAAAAGCGGGGGGGTCCATGATCAAGTTAATTTTGGTAGTAAGAGCTGCATTATCACATTGTCCAGTTACAGGCTCTGCGGAGCCTGCAAGAAAGGAGGAACCTGTTAAACTATGTATCACTGTTTCCCAAATTTACTTGGCCATAGTGCCCCGTCCCTTTCTCTGAGGAGCACAGTATGGGAAGACCTGCATAGGACACAGGGTGGGCTCCTGGGAAGAGAACGTGGAACGGACAAGCAGGAGTTGGGCGGGAGGTTCACTCTGAGCCAGCTCCTCAGTCAGGAGTGAGTATGACCACATTGGGGGCAGGGAGAGGGCAGAAAGCAGAGCGTTCTGGCTGCAGTGGAGGGTGCGGGAGAGCCGCACGATGAGCCTGGGAGAGCTATATAGGTGGCAGAGGACACAGCTGCCTTGCCCCAAGTTCCTTAAGAGGAGATGGGGGCCCCAGAGAGCTCATGAGTTTTGGATGAATTGAGTTTTACGAAGTTCAATGGAGTGTATGGGAGACTTAAAGGGAGTAAGGGGAAGGTACAGGATTGAAACAGTGGTCTGAACTGAGCTGGTGGCAATGAAGGATGGATGGACGGATAGATGGATGGATGGATGGATTTGGCTGAATTTAGGGAGAAAAGACCCACGGGACTCAAGGGATAGTTGGATATGGAGTAGGGATGGGAATGAGGGGAGAGCTAAGCAGGATTCCCAGGTAGATAGACTTCATCCTCCTGAGTCTGGGTGACCAGATAGTGATGACATATAGATCATTATCCATGCAGAAGTTGACTGAAGAAAAAGAATTTGGTTTCAGATCTTCTGAAGGGCCAGTGGAGACAGCCAGTTGAATAAATCCACCAAGGGTCTAGAACTACAGGGTCAGAGTTTGAGAGAAATTTTGGATCTAGGCTTTCTAAGATTTAATAGTAGAGAATTAAAGGAAACGTTTGGTGTCGAGTATAACCCAACCCTCCATTTTACAGAAAAGAATCAGGAAAAAGAGACCAAGTGACATGCCTCATAGGCAGGACTGCAGGAAGCCTTAGGCTACCAGGTGCAGGATCTGCGGGCAGGGAGGAAAGGGAAGCGCCCGGCCAGGCTGCCCTGCTTCTGCGACCCCTCCTGGAGCTTGTTCACACCAGCACCAGGTGGACGACGCTCCTTTACAACCTCTCAGCCTCACGTGTCTAGGTTAATTTGGGGGTCCTTGTCTGTCATCACCCAGATCCTTCAGTGTTTCAGATCACAACATGGATCCCCGAGAAGGGGTGTCTCTTCCTGAAGATGGGGTGGGAGCCAAGATGGGAAGGCAGCTCTGGGCTATCTTCCCATCAGCTCCACAGCTCCTTGTCCTGACAGCCTCCCCAGCTCTGGCTGCCTTGAATGGGACGGAGATGATGTGGGGTATCAGGAGGCGGACCTGCCATCCCAGAACCACCTCTCCTGGCCATCTTGAAAACGCCCCTGTGAGGGCGTTAGAGGAAAGACAAAGCATTTCCAAAACCTGAGTGGACTGGAGGGAGCCCGGAGACTCCTCAGCCGGGCCCTGGGCCTGGGTGGCTCTCACCCCTGCCCCCTGGGGGCCCTGGCGCTGTGCCCTCCACAACTCCTAATTTCTGGTTGACAGGAAAACTAGCGGCAGTCCTAGGTGGGTGTTTGGGTGAGCTGCTGGTTGTGCCAAGAGCCCAGCTGAGGTTGCCAGGTTCCTGAGGTTATCATTAACCCCTGGCAGGCAGTCAGGGCTGCCAGCTGGGAACACGCTGCCACAGTTCCACTCCCCCACCCCAGCCCCCAGTCCAAGCTCCCGAGTCCTGGCTCCACCAAGCCCTCAGTCCTTCCCAGAAGCTCCTTCCTGTTTCCGAGGAGTTCGTCTGAGGCCAGCCTTCTTGACCCCTGATGGCAGCCAAGCCCCTCCCCCATGCCCAGGTCCTCCCGGACCCTAATCCTCTACAGCCAATGCTGTTTCCTGATCTGGACCGTGAGGCAGTTCCCATTGTTCCGCTTTTCCACCTCCAAGGTGCCCTGGTTCGTTATCTGGCCCCCTTTCCTTCTTCCCTCCCACCTTTCCCACTCCCAGGCCTCTCTGGAGGGGAATGAAGTGGGGACAGGGGAGCTGGGAGGGAGCGGTCTCAGCAGGGAGCCTGGGGGAGCCCGCAGTGTTACACGCAAGGCGAGAAACAGGATCAGAGAGAGGTGGGCACCTCACTTGGATGGAGGCAATGGGAAGTTACAAGAGCAATGAGACAGGTGAGGAGCTGGAGTTTGCGGGTGGGGGTGGTGCTGTTTGGAATATAGGGGACTGTTGTGGTATTGGTGAGCTGTTTTGGAATTAGGAGTCTATTGCTTTTAGGGAGCTGTTCTAGAAATTGGAGGCTTGCTAGTGTTTAAAGGCTCTGCTTATATAGGGGCGCTGGCCGGTGCTGTGCTGGAATTGGGAGGCTGCGCTGTAATAAGCGGTCCTACCGGATCAGGCTTACTGCGGTGGCCTGGGGGCTGTAGTGACATCGGGCCTGCGCTGCGTTGGGACTTTCAGTATGTGGTCTTGGCTGTACTGGGAGCTGTCTTAGAATTCAGGGGAAGTCCTCTATGGGGGGATGTGCCTTCTGGGGCTGTGCTGTGCCAGGGGGCTGGGCCTCTTCTCCGTGGCTGCTGAGGGGGCTGGAAGGTCTGGGGGTGGGCGGGCCTGGCCCAGGCTGGGGCCTGGTGTGGTGGTGGACCCCACAGGGCAGCCCGGCGGGCCTGCAGTGACGCGTTCTCTCCCTACAGTTACCTCACCGCCGCGTCACCTTCTCCGCCACCAGCCAGGCCCAGGAGCTGCAGGACCCGTCCCAGCACAGTTACTACGATAGTGGTCTGGAGGAGTCTGAGACGCCATCCAGCAAGTCCTCCTCGGGGCCCCGGCTCGGTCCCCTGGCTCTGCCTGAGGATCACTATGAGCGCACCACCCCCGATGGCAGCATAGGAGAGATGGAGCACCCCGAGAACGGTGAGGAGCGTCGGCACGGTCGGGCACCCCAGGAATGAGCAGAAGCCAGAAATGGTGACGAGACCTTAGAAAACTATCCTCCATTTACTGATCTCATTGTATGTTCAGCAGTAATTACTGTGCTGAGTGCTTTCAGGTACACGTTTATTTAATCATCACAAGCTCTCTCTGACCTGAGAACTTTATTGTGCCCACTTTACAGTGGAGGAAACTGAGGCTCAGAGAGGATGAGTCACTTCCCCACAGCCATACATAGAAAGTGACAGAGCTGGGAGGGATTCAAACCCAGGCTTCTCTGACTCCAAAGACCTTGCATTCAGCACATTATCCCGTCTCCCTGGAGACAGGACCCCTGAGAATGGTGGCCATAGGGCTCAGGTAGTGGTGATGGGACCTTCAGGGGACCTTGAGGTAAAGAGGGTCCCATAACAGGAACAGAGGGCCTTGAGAAAAGGGAGGGGACCCTGGGTGCTAGAGGCTCTCAGAGGAGGGTATTGTTATCCTAGGATGGGGAGGGGGGGAGGAGCAGGAGAGGGTTTGGCTGAGGCAGGGGAGTGGGGAGGTGTGGAGAGGTGTGGGGAGGGGAAGGGCTTCTCTGCGAGGGGTTAGGAGGGTGATGGCCAAAGGGAGGTTCTGGCTGGAGCAGAGGTCAGTGTGGGAATGCGTGGTAGGTATGTCGTCAGAACGTGTGTGTGCGTGCGTGTGAAGGTGTCCATAGCAGCCTGCGGAGGGGCAGACTAAATAAGCCTCACCTTGGGATGAAAAGACTCCCCGGCTTGGAGCTGGCCCCCCTCCCTCAGTCCAAACTCTCCGAGCTTCCGCAAAAGGTGGTAAGGTCCACCCGCAGCCCTTAGGCACGGGCCCTTGTCTGACCTCCGGGCCGCCGCAGGTCGCAGAGTGCCCTCCATGCTCTGTCTCATGCGCATCTCGTCCTTTTTGTGCCCCCGCGCAGAGCCGGCTGGTCGGAGCAGGCCCTGAGGCGGAGTGCCAGGTATGTGGGAGCTACTCTGGGGTCTGGGGTCTGGGGGACTCGGCCCAGCACCCGGCCCCACCCACCCAGGCTCCGTGCTCTGCTCCGTGCCACCGTGGGTCCCCCAACAACTCTGCCTTGAGCTGAAGAGCCTTGGTGCTTTGAGGGTTAACGACAGAGCTGTCCCCTCCTCACCCTGCACTGGCTGGAGGCCAAGCCTATATGGGCGGTGTCAGGGGAGCCCCTGCCCCAGGCAGTGCTGCTCAGCCATGTCCCCTGAGAGGGGTCACCGCCTGGTACTGTCCCTGAGCAAGGGCGGGACAGGGGCAACTGTGACAGGAAGTGCTCATGGCCTCACTGTTCCCATGGAGACCCTGCTGCCCAGCAACCACACCAGCTACTGCTGATGTCAGGCGGCCAACTCCTGTTCCCGTGGGTGTTCTGGGCAGGGAACTGGGGAAAGGCCAGGGGTGGTGGATGGTGTAGGGGCCGGAGTGAGGTGGAGAGGGGCTGCATGAGCGTGCTTGTGGGTGTGTGAGTGTGTGGCTCCATGTGAACTCCCCACGTAGAAGCTCGTCCCCTCTCCCTGGCTTTAGAGCAGGGCCTTGCTGCGCTGGGATGGGCTTCCAGGACAGCTGGGAGCCTGGTGAGGCTTGAGAGGGTTCAGAAGGAAGGTATGTGGCCTCTTTGTCTGAGGATAAAGATGCCCAGTGTAGATTTGTGTGTCCGCACTTATCTGAGGGCAGGGTGTGTGTGCGTGCGTGCATGTGTGTGCGCGTGTGTGTATGTGAGAGAGAGAAAGAGAGAGAAAGACTCAAAGGAGGATGGAGGTGTCCTCACCCCCATCAGAGGGTAGATTAGTGTGTCTAAGAATGTCTGGAGATAGATGACTGGAGTGTGGAGATGAGCTGTGTGTTTGTGCACCTATCTGAGGGCAGATGTGATGGGTGTGTGTGTGCAGAGCTGGAGGGTGGGTGAGGAGGGAAGGAACATGTCTATTTAAGGATAGATTGTGTGTGAGAGAGAGAGAGTGAGCATGTGGTGGATGGTGGGAGGGCGCGCGTCTATTTGAGGGTGCATGTGCCTCTGAGCCCAGGGGGCAGCAAGGGGTGTGCACCGCTGCTCTGAGGTGCCAATGGGAGGCCATGGAGCAGAGCCTTGCCAGGCCACCCGACCTGATGACTGTCCTTGCTCTGTCCTGCAGACCTGCGCCCTTTGCCTGATGTTGCAATGACGGGCACATGTACCCGGGAGTGCAGCGAATTTGGTCACTCCGACACGTGCTGGATGCCTGGCCAGTCGTCTCCCAGCCGCCGGACCAAGAGCAGCGCCCTCAAACTCTCCACCTTCGTGCCTTACCAGGACCGAGGAGGGCAGGAGCCTGCGGGCGCTGGCAGCCCCAGCCCACCGGAAGACCGGAACACCAAAACGGCCCCCGTGCGCCTCCTGCCCTCCTACAGTGCCTTCTCCCACAGTAGCCATGATCCCTGCAAGGACTCGGCCACCTTGGAGGAAATCCCCCTGACCCAGACCTCGGACTTCCCACCCGCAGCCACAACAGCACCTGCCCAGACGGCCAAGCGTGAGATCTACCTGTGAGCCCCCTTCTGGCCGGCGGCCAGCCCCTCATCCAGCCGCCGGCCAGCTCCCAGATGGGCCCATTCCAGGGCCCCACTCCTGCCCCCTCCAGCGTGGACTTCCTGGCCAGGGCCCCAAGTCAGGGGCGGGGGGGCAGTACTGGCCTCATGACCACGCTGGCCCTTCCCCCATGCAGGGTCCAGGTCCTCTCCCCTTACTTCAGCCCCCAGCCCCCAGGGAACCCCCTTCTTCCCCTTTATGGGGCTTCCCCAGCTGATGCCCAAGAGGGCTCTTCTACAGGGACTAGGCTCCCGTCCCTCGACTTCCAGGGAGCACCCTCACTTTGGGCAGACGGTGGAATCACGGGTGGGCAACACACTTTTAACTCATTGTTTCCCGCATGGCCGACCAGGGCGGGGATAGGATGCCCCCATTCCAGCGCTGAAGCAGGGCTGAACTGGGGAGCCCGTCTCCCTGGGCACTCCCAGAGGAACGCCTGACCACCCGGGGCTCCCTGAAGGGCTTTTGTTACCAAAGGTGGGGTGGGGATGGAGGTGGGAGTGGGGCGGAGGCCTTGTCTTCCTGGGCTGACCCACCCGCCCACCACATGCCCGTGTCTGTCCCATCTGGGCCCCTCTCCCTGCTGGTCATGCAGTGTCTGTATATAAGGACCTTGGAATGATGTCCCCATTTCTGCCTGATTTGCAACTTTTCTTGTTGATGTTGTGTTGTCTTGGGGGACCCCTCGGGGGGGACCTGCCCTATGTCCCCTACTCCCTGCCACAGTGCTCCCCACCCTAGGCCTCTATTGTTCCATGTTGTAAATACCCTTGGGGCCATGGTGGGATGGGGGTGCAGGCCAGGGAAACAACAGGTGGGTGGGGGTGGGGACAGGGGTAACATTTGCCTATCAGCAGAGCTGGGCTTTTATTTAATTTTTTTTAAAAATACAAATCTCTATTTTTTTGGAACTGTTGCGCTGTGCCCTGGGGGGAGATCCCCGCTCAGGCTGGCCCCCCACATCCAGACGAGCATCACAGAGGGGCCCTGAGGTTGTGGGGGGCAGCTAGACAGGGGAAGGATGACTGTGCCTCTGGCCTGGTTGGGTGAGTTGGGAGCAGGAAGGTTTGCTCAGGGGGTGGCCGATTGCTGCCCCCACAAGGGGGGAACCTGCACCCTGCTTCCTCCCTGCCCCCCACCCCCAGCCCCTGCCATGACTGACCCGTCAGCCTGTAAAACCACCATTGCCTTGATCTTGGGGTGGGGAGGGCTGCCTCAGGGCACCCTGGGCTCCTGGCCCCCTTCTTCCAATTGGGCTTCCCTTTGCCAGGGTCAGGGGTCCCGCGGGGGAGTGGGTGGGGAGAGTGGGGGGCAGAGAAGCCCAGTCAGCCATGATGAGGTGGGATTCCTTTCTTCACCTCAGGGGGCCAGGGTGTGAGGGGCACCCTGAAGAGCCCCCGTCTCCCACTGTGGCCGTCTCAAAGCCTCAGTCCCTCTTCCTTCCAGAAAGCCCACTGCCTTGGCCCATACCTCTTCAGCTCCCCAGGGGCCCAGGCTGGGAGGCTGAAGACTCAGGGTATGGCCCTCGCTTGACTTAGTCTAAGCTTGGGGGGGCAGCCCAAGGGTGGGAGGGGTGGGTACAGGCTGCTGGGTTGTCTGGTGCCTTTGGAAGCTGTGTTGCTGGGGTCTTGACTCCTGTAATCCCAGAGACCCCACCTCTACCCCAGAAACGCCGGGGGGCTGAAGAATCACCCTGCGCTCTGCTCCTCCCCCTAACTTGGCTTGGAGTAACAGTGCTGGGAAGGAGAGCATTGTGAGGCTGGTGGCCCTGGCGTACGCAGCCCTTCTATGGAGGGTAGGAGGTAGAGTGGGCTGGGGTGACAGCAACCAGGTCTAGGGGTTGGCCAAAGGCTCCTTTCCCTGGGGGAGGCCCAGGAAGTGGGCTGGGGCTTGTTAAAGAGACAGCCCCTTCCCCCTGCACAAACGGGGCAGGTGCAATAGTGGTGGAGTTGGGAACATGAGGTGCCCGGTTGGTGGGACAGTGGCCTCGAGGGCTGTCCTGTGGGTCCTAGAGGTCAGGATTCTGGCAAGAAGATTGTATGAGGCCCATGTGCTTGGTGGAGAGGGTGGCCTAGACAGGGGGCATTCCTGGGGTCAGGGGACTTCCCCCAGGTGCCCCTGGTGGCCTGGGCATCCTGCTCTGGTCTTGGAGACCCCGAGCACTGGGTGGAAGGGCAGAGAAGCAATTTGCACAATGGAGAAGCCAGAAGGAAGGGGTGGCCCAGATGGCTGGGAGGGCTGAGAAGCACAGCGGAGGAGCCCTTCCGCAGACGAAGGCAGGACCCCTAACCCCCTGGTTGGGGTCGGGGCGCGCTGAGTCTGTCACCACCTGGGCACTCGAGAGGTGAAACCAAAGGTGGGCAGGGGATGGGTGACAGCATTGGGGACCGCTCCTGCTGGTCCTAGGTCTGTGAAGCCCTTCCCCAATGCCTTGTGTCGTGTACAGTTTTATGTACAAATAGGCGACATTTGGCCAGAGGAGACCCCCCTCAAACCCAGCCTGACCCAGTCAGTGTCTTCCTAGAGGGGACCTAGTCGGCCCCCATCCCCTTACTTCAGAGCATGTCTCTTAGTAGGGGGAGGGTATATGGGGACATATTCCTCTCCTAGGGTCCCTGAAGTGTATCTCACATCCCCTGGGAGGGTCTCTGGAGCATCCCTCACCTCTGGGGGCTCCCTAGCCCCTATGTCTCTCCCCTTGGGAGTCTCTGGGGGGACCGTGTATTCCCGCTGGGGACCATGGGAGCATGTCTCCCCCCTACCCAGGCTCTCTGGGGAGCCTGTTTTCCTCCCGGGGTTCCTGGGAGTACTTAAGGCATGTCAGTCTTGGGCCATCTCTCTTCCCAGGGAAGAGGGTGATCTCCGAAGCATGTCTGGGAAGGGAAGTCCCTGGCCTTCCCTGCATCTCAGCTCTGGGGGTCTCTGACCTGCAGTACTTTGGGAAGAGACCGGACAGCTCTGAGTCGTCTTTTCTCCTAGGGGCTCTGGGGTACCTCTCTCTCCTGAGGACACCCCTTCCCCCGGCCTCTGGAGCCATTTCTTCCCTGGTTGGGGGCCGTCTCCTGGTGGTGGGAGGGCTTGCGTTGGCCATGAGAAAGCCTCTTCAGGGGCGTCTCCACGCGGGACTTCTCTGGGATGGGGGACTGTTTCTCGCCCATGGGGTTCCCAGACGGGTGTGTCTGCCCGTGGGGAGGAGGAGACTGTGTCTCCTCCGGTTATCTGAGTGGGGAGGGGGGCCGTGTCTCTCTCGTGTGTTGGGGGGTGGGGTTGGGGAGGGGGGTTTTGGGCGCGTCAGGCGCCCACACTGGGGTCGTGTTTCTCTTGGTTAGTGCCACTTCCCACCGCCTCGCTCCTCCCGGGAAGGGCCCCCGCCCCGCCCCCACTCCACCCCCTGTCCCTGGCGCTGCGAGCACAATCCCGTTGATTTGTAATGATTTCTGTCTCTTTCTGTCTTTTCTCTTTCTCTGACCTGCCCCCCCACCCCCGCCGCGAGCATGCGCAGGCACCGCCCCTACCCTCCTCCGGTTCGGTTCGTTTCCGGTTTGTTTGCTGAGCTGTCAATGAAAGACCCGTGTAATTATTCCCAAGCTTTACAATAAAAGTGTGAAAACCGGACCCCACTTCGCTTCTTCCGGGAGTTCAGTCCTGCGTCCCGGAGAGACTGGGGGCTACGAGTGGGGTAGAGGCCTTGGAGGGGGCCAGGGGGCGCGCTTGGGAGCAGACGGACCAAGACCCACGCTGGGATCTGTCGGTGTCAAGCAGGAATGGGGACAAGAGGGCGCAGGCTGAGGACAGACATTTACTTCATTCGTGCACGTTAAAGTGCCCCCCAGCCCGTCCGCTGGGCCCAATCCGTTCCAGGTACCCCATCCCCACTAGGAGCTGAGGTGTGGGTTAGGGATGGGGGTGGGGTGCAGAGCTGGGGAAAGTTACGCCGCGCTGCCTTCTTCTAAGGAGCAAGTAACCATTCCCGCTCCCCGCTCCACCCCGCGGCTCTCCCTTTGGTAACGAGCACGAATTGCCGAGCTGGATGGGAGAAGGGGTGGGAGACATCTGTCTGTCTGTCGCTCCCTCCCACGCTCAGGAACGAGGGTTGGAAGTCGATTTGGGGATCCGAAAAGGTCTCAGCCCCATTCTCCGACCGCGATCCCCTCCCCCCAGCTTCCGGCCGAGTTCCCCTCTCCTCTGTCCGGCTCCCAGGTAAACACCCCGATCCAGAGAGGTCGGAGAACCGAGACCGGATCGGCCGGTTTCCTGGCCCCGCCTCTCGGGGCTGCATCCCCCACCCCTCCCCGCCCCCTCCTCAGCGCTTCTGCTCCGCCTTGTGCTTCTCCCCCACCCTGCTGCGCGGGCAGGGGCCTGGCTGCAGGACTTCGGGGTCGGTTCAGCAGCAGGGATTAGCCACCGCAGGGACTAATCCTGGATGAGCCTCCGTGTAAACCCGGATCTACGGCGGGCTGGGGGCGGGGGATGGAGGGGGGCGGTCACAGGTGTCCCTTCATCCATTCCCATGCGCAGGGCCTGGCGCCCATTCCAGATACCCCCCTGCCCTCCCTGCATTCAGAGACACGAGATTGGATCTGCTGTGGGGACAGCCTGGCAAGGTGGTGGGAATGAAGATGACCCTGCCAAGGTCAGGCCTGGATCAGATACTCTCAAGCCTTGCTTTGGGGGTAGGAGGCAGGGAAGGACAGGTAAAGGCCCCTCTGGCAGTCTCTTGAGTCCCCAAGGTCAGGCCAGCTCCCTGCACAGTGTGCAACCTGGTGCCCACTAGTAATCTTCCAGCTACACAGAATCAATAACCCTCCCTCTACCAGTGGCCCGGGTCACCCTGACCTCCAGGCGTCACCTCCAGATCAGAGGAGGCAATGAATCAACCGCAGGGTCCCGCATCATCCCCACCTCTGATTTGGCCAGAGAGTGGGGGACGAAGAACTTCTGTTAAGCCAGGTCCTCAAAATGATATCAGAGGTCAAGGAATTTGGCTACTAGAGTCCTGCACCTGGTTGTTTTACTTGTTCCACAAACATTTCCTGAGCCCCTCCCTTGCGCCAGCCTAGCATAGGGAACTTCGATACCCCAAGAATGACACACAGTCTCTAAGGGAAAGGCAGACAGGTAAACAATGACCACATCACGTGTTTAGCCCTGCCCTGAGCTGTAAATTCAGGCTGGAGAGCCAAAGTTAGGTGCTTCCTCCCAGGAGTCCAGGAGGCTTCCTGGAAGGGGTGGTCACCAGAGTTGAGTTTCAAAAGGCAGATGGGGAACAGACCACTGAGGAAGGGGTCACTGTTGCAGGCTGAGGGAGTGGTGTGCGCAAAGGCCTGTGCGTGGAGGAGGAGAAGGCGAGGACCTTCAGGAAGGCAGGAGAAACAGGAGAAGAAGGTAGGGACCAGAACTAGGAGGTCTTGTTGGTAAAGCCACGGAGGGGGAAAGGGGCTCATTTCAGGATCCTGTCTTTTAAAGAAAAGGCCA